ACATCTCCAGCCAAAGGAAAATGACGGAGGCTAAGGGGTGGGGAACCCACGGCCATCAATGAGGGGCAATCAATTGCGCTAACATCTGCATAAGGAGCTGGGAAATATCCCTGAGAGACCCGAACTCGGACCGAGTCCATTGAGGCCATCACGTTTCCCGCCATTTTTAAGTCTCCATTTTCGCCAGCTTTTCGCTAATTCTAGTCAACATGGCACGCCTTTCATATTCGAAGCGTAGAGGTTTCGGTTTGGTTCGGGTGGGGCGATTTGAGTTGCGTTTGAGGGACGGTTAGCAGTATGTTTTTCGCCGGACGGCCGCCATCTCTGCCTCGACGGTGGCTGCTCGCAAATCCCAGACTGGGAATTGGCGGGAAAAACGGAGCGGAACAGAGAAAACTGCCCAATTGTGGGAGTGTCGAGTTTGGAATAATGTGAAGAGGTCTCTGCTTCTTGTTCATCAGTCTTTATTATTATAAGTAGTTGACACTATAATTACCCACAAATCCCTAACACACTTTCAACAATTTATTTTTGCGCTTATGTATACAGGAATCTATCTGTAGAAATGTATACCTATATACGCGGATACAGACGTCTTTTCCTAATGTAAATACTTATTCAACATTATCGATTCATTCCTATGGCCAAGGAGAAAGAAATAAAAGAGAGAAGAGAAAGATGGTGAAGAAGAAAAGAAAATGATTGAAGAAAAAGAAAGGCCAAAATAAGAATGAAAAATAGAAAGAAGAAGAATGAAGAGGATCGGGAAGGAAATAAAAAGTAAAAAGAAAGAAAGAAAGAAAGAAAGAAAGAAAGATATTCAAGTGATACAGAAAAAAGAAGGGGAAGAAAAATGGAAAAGGAAGAAAAGAAAGAAGATTGGAGAAAAGAAAGAAAAAAGAAGAATGAAAGAGAGAAAAAAGAAAGAAAGAAGAAAATCAAGAGAAAAGAGGAGGCAAAATGAAGATGAAGAAGAATAAATTGAAGAAAAAACAAGTAGAAAAACATGGAAACTAATGGAAAGAATTTAATGAAACAAATCTTGTACATTTAATAAATTATTTTCACAATAGTTTTAGGTTTACACTTTATATATCTACAGACATATTCAGGTAAAATTACATACACATATTCTAAGAAACACTGAATAATAATAGTGAAGAAGTGCACACAATATGGGTTACATATAAATAATGTATATATATATATATATATATATATATATATATATATATATATATATATATATATATGACGTCACACATTATGAAATGGACAAAGTCAGACTATTATTTTAAGACATTTTTATGTTTATGCATTCTTTTTATAGATAAAAATATTTAAGTATTCATTATAAAACATAGCATTTACTTAAATATTTGTATGTATTAAAAGAATGTATAAAATATATATATATATATGTGTGTGTGTTCACAAACACCCTTTTTATATATATATATAGCACAACTTGAGACTATATATATATATATATATATATATATATATATATATATATATTGACTATTATTTTAAGACATTTTTTTTATACATTCTTTTTATAGATACAAATATTTAAGTATTCATTATAAAACAGAGTATTTACTTAAATATTTGTATCTATAAAAGAATGTAAACATATATATATATATATATATATATATATATATATATATATATATATATATATATATATACCTAAGTATAGAATTGGTATATATGGATTGAATTCAACAAACCAACAATTACTATTCTTAAAAGAGTGCTCAATACAAGTAGAGCAGATATAATTATTATTTATAAAAAATTATAACATAAAGTATGTTATAAAATCACTACTAAAAATAGCCATTTTTTTCAAACACACTCGGTGACTTGATAAGACACTGAGTGTGTTGAAACAAAATGCCTATTTTTGTAGTGATTTTATAACATACTTATGTTATAATTTTTATAAATAATAATTATATATATATATATATATATATGTGTGTGTGTGTGTGTGTGTGTGTGTGTGTGTGTGACAACGCAAACACACTTACACACACACACACACACACACACATATATATATATAGCACACCTTGAGACTATATATATATATATATATATATATATATATCGGGAATCCACTGTCATTAGTGGCCAAAATCATTAACTTCTATCTTCTTAATTATAATACGACAAATGTTAGCCGTTATATATATATATATATATATATATATATATAAAACTTAACCCAACGCACACAAATCATATCTCCTTCCAAAACCATATTCTATAAAGAATTACATGACATTAAACAAACACTTGTTAATAATGGATTTCCTAATTCCGTCATTGATCAACAAATTAAAATGTATCTTAATAAACTTATAAATACCACTAACAAAATTGAAAATAATAATAATAATAATAATAATAATAATAATAATAATAATAAAATAATAATAATAAGGTACGTCAAAATAAACATGAGACTATTAACTTTTAACGTTTATTAAGTTGTTTTTCTGGTGCTTATATATATGTCGGGTTTTCATTTACAGTTCAATTCTCAAGCGGTGCTAATCTAGATATTGACCAAGCTCGACCCTACTTAACTTAGGTGACCAAACGAGAACCAGGGTTCCACCCTGATTTGGACGTAATCATATGGAGTGCAGAACAACTTAACACTGCCAATTCAACTAAGAAAACTGAGCGTTGGGACAACTCAGGACCGAGGTAATTCAGCACCAGAAAAACAACTTTTTTAATAAACGAATAAAGTAATTTATTAAGGATTACAACCTTAAGTAGTGAATATTTTTCCTTAAAAAAAGGCATTTGAAAAGGCATGTAAAATATGAACCAGCTTTTTTCTTTATTTTAATTTTTAATTATTTTTAATAAAGTGAATCTAAAGAAATATTTTTTTTAATAAAGTATATTGACACTTAAAAAATCAATAAAACACAATTGTTTTTAATTATTTTTAATAAAGTAAATCAAAAAAGACAAAATAAAATGAAGCAGTTTGTGTTTTTGTTTTTAATAAAGTAAATCGTCATGTAATTTAATTTTTAATAAAGTAAATTTTTCATACATAAAACAGTCTGTCGTCATTCGGTGTTGATCTCCGTATCTACACATGTTGTATGTCGGGTATTGAGCACATTTACATATAAATATAGTTTAGCTTAAAAGTATATTTTATTATATATATATATATATATATATATATATATATATATATATATATATATATATATATATATGATAACATAATTTTAGAGTATGCGATATTTATGGGTGAATGTGCGAAATAACAGAGATAGTGTGTTTGTAAATATAAAAGTAATTACTGAGGTCAACACCGAGTGGCGATTATCTGTTTTAGACGTGAACGCAATCTTCAGGCATATATATATATATATATATATATATATATATATATATATATATATATATATATATATATATATTTATATATATATAGTTTATGCAAAACTAGGCAATCTGCATGGGTAGACACAAGGAGGATGATATCCGGAGAGCTCAATGTAAAATTCAGAGCCGATATATTTAAATAAAAACAGACCACTTTAAGGTTCCATGTAATATGTTATTTCGCCACAACCCCTTTAACAGGGCCCTGGATCATCATTAATTTTACATATGCTTGATGCGGTCCGTCAAAAACGTGTGAATTTCTTTTCATTTTTCATTTCAACCTTTGGAAGTAAAGTCTGATGACCCAGAGCCCTGTTAAAGGGTTTGTGGTGAAATAACTTATATATATATATATATATATATATATATATATATATATATAGAGGCAGTATAAAAAATTATTTAACAAATTTTGGGGGCGGGTTCCTCAAGCTAAAATAACGACAAAAGTTCATATATACACATGTGCACAAATACTTAGTTTTTGAGTTATTAAGTTTAAAAATAGTTTACCGTAGATGACGCTGTGTTGCCATATAGACTAGCTCACATTTGTCACTCGTGTACATATGTGGCTAGTCTGTCTTCAACGTTTAACATGTGTAGTAGTGAATTAATTAAGAAGTGTTTCGTTTACCAATAGTAGGATATTAGCATCGTGAACAGGCAGATATAATTTTTGCATACAGCCGCGTGAAGAGTTATAGACGCGAGACTGCACGGCTGTATCAGATTGCATTTTCAAACCGAGGACAACCGAGTCACCCAAGCTTTGTTGCTGTTTATCGTCGCTTTGTTGTGACGGGATCCGTGACACCACAGACTATGGATTGAGGAAGACCGGGATCAAATCGTACGCCTGGCTACATTCTACAGGCTGTCGGTGACGATCCAGGTATCAACACACGTCATTTGACCCTAACATGTCGTACATCTCATAATAACGCATGAAGGGTACTTCAAGAGCAGCCCCTGTATCAGTATCATTTGCAACGTGTGTAGGGTTTTTCACCCTCTGATCACTCACCATGGGAGAACTGTTGCCGATGGTTTATTGCACAAACTGTCGATCCATTGTTTGTCTCTTCAGTCTAGTTTACGGATGAGGCAACATTTGGAAGAGATATAATAATAAATTTACACAATCGACATTTGTGGGTGGATCGGAATCCCCATGGTTCAATATAGGCTAGACACCAGCATCAGTTTACAATTAGGCTGGAATTGTAGGCGACTGTCTAATAGATTGTCATGGGTCCTTACCTATAACTACAGAATGAACTCTTCCTAACACTATGTATACTACGCCTCTCAAGAGAGAGGGACGAATCGAATCGAGCCGATAGTAGTTCACTCCAAACCAAACTGACAGTCATACTAACACCTTCCACATCTTGTATTATTATTTCGTGTAATATACCTTCGTTATTTCTACTCTTGTGTTCGTGTTGTTCTTCCTTGGTTCTAACCTGGACTGTAACATAGATCCATATGTTCTCAAAGTAGGTTCTACAGGAGCTGTCTCAGGGGCTTCATTTCAAATGAACTTCCATGCTTGCTAGTAGATGTACTCTGCAAAGACGTATGTGATTTATGCATGTTTTAGTCATTCAGTTTTCAGTATGACATCTATCATGAAAGAAGGATAAGTCGGGGAGGACCAGTTCCATGGCCTGCAAGTTCCCCTGACCTCGATCCCTTGGATTTGTATCTGTGGGGTCACCTAATACAATTGATTTATGCAGCAGACATTAACAATGCAGAGACGATTCTTCAACGTGTCATGGCGGCTTGCGGAGTATTTGAAAGGGTTCACCTTTCAATGATCTGACGGGTAGATGCGTGTGTAAAAGCAAGCGGAGGACATTTTGCATATTTGTTATGAGTTGTTGTGTTGATATACGACAATGCCCTTTTGATCATATGTTTATATGGATATTTTGGTTTGTTTTGGTGTCAGGAAACCAACTCAAAAAATTTTTCTTGATTGTACATTTAACAGCCAGTAAACATTAAATTTAATAATCCAAAATCGAAGAATTTACTGACATATGTTTATGTGGACTTTTGTCCTTGTTTTGGTGGGAGAAACCCGCCTCCAAAGCTTGTAAAATATTTTTTATACACCTTGTACTTATTGGAAAGCTCTCAATATCAGTGGTAAAGCTAACTAATCAATCGACAATGTTCATTTATTTAAAATATTTATAGCATATTCCAGTTTACGTATAAGTTGACGCACATTCAAGTCAAATGAAGAATCACTTACGGTGAAAGGGTCAAAAGTTCATTGTATCGATCTTCACTTATCATTCTTAGGAACGTTAATATTATCAGTGCCACTGGGTTTTTATTAGTGACATCATATGTAGGACTTTCTCAAAAACAAACTAAAACTTTAAATTTAATTATAGAATTAAATTAAAATCCCTAGTACTGTTTCATTCTCAAGCGATTTTTTGAATAACTTATTTTGAAATTTACTGAGTTTATAAGCACATATATTCTTGATATTATTTGCTAAGGTTACGGGAAATTCAATCATTTTGATAAGGGGTGGTATGGTATTCATTTTCATAGACAATCTGTATATCAAAATATGAGTTACTTTCAAAATCAGGTTAAGTTAAGGTAGGGTAAGGATGCCTGTTCAATAAATGATGACATCCCTTTTTCGCATGTCGTCTGTTTTTTTTTCAAAAGGGTTAAAAATAATAATGTAGCGTTCATTAATTCTTTTTTCTTTTAAATTTTACTCATTTGGACAAAGATAAAAGAAGATGAATGTCATCAAAATTCGCGAAAATCTTTTTTTTTCCTTTAATAGTCAGTCGTGTTTAGTTTAATTTCTAACGTTTGTAAATGTTGGTAGATAAAAGCAAAAATTTATAAGATAGCAAGGGTCGTAAAGAACTGTCTGGGAGCCCTAATCATTACTCACCCCCGGCTCAGGGAGTTCGGCCGTACTATGCACCAGTCCTATGATACCCGGACAACATGAAATCTACAAAACTGTTTTGAAACCAACTTCAAAGAGACGCAAACCAAGCTTTCGTCACGTTTGTACATCCGAAATCTTTGACCTACAAAATTCTTGGTGACCTCAGGTGCTGACAGGTTAGAAATTCATAACGACGACAGATCTTTTCATTGTATTTGCTTTAAGAAAGGACTTTTAATCGTTATCAATTGTAAGTCCGACTTTAAATACAAATTTCCTCTTTATTCAGCATAATTTTTATTAATCGCTCCAAAGAATATTTTGAGCCAGCCTTTAAATCTTTCTCTTCCAATAAATAATTTTTTTATTCAGTTTCAAACAAAGTGAAAATCCCTCCTTTTCTTGTGTTCCTAATAACATACTGATTTTTATTTTATTCCTATATGGGATAAATTTCCATAAAAGATTAATAAATTAATTTATAATAAATTATATAAAATTAATATAATAATTTAATTTTCATAATCATCAATACATTATTTTAATATGTTTTGTATAAATATTTTCGATTCCGCAACAATATTAGTTAAAATTCATTTAGCATAGATTTCTTCAAGCTTCGATAAAGTTTTGGCATTTCTCCGAATCGGCCCAAATCACACATACTCGATGACTTCAGATTTTTCAATTCATGCCACAAATGATCAAATAAATTTAGATCATGTGATTGCGAAAGTAATTCTTTTTACCCCAGCCATATTCTTTGTAGACGATTGTTGAAGTATCTTTTGAGTCGTTGATAACTCAGCAAATATATTTCCCCTAAACTTTCGTGACCTTTTCGGTACCAACTGCACTAAAGCACCTCTGTATAATAACGTGTTCACCAACATTCTTCACTGTTTCAATGTTGCGATGATATTTTCTTTAAAACGTGTGTCATCTTCATTTTTTTTGCTTGTTAAAACAACGTCATGGTACTAATTATGATTTAAAAGTTCAAATGATTTTTTTTCTTTTTGTCTGACCAAATAACTGTATTCCACTATTCATGGAACTCTCCCAGAAACTATTTAGCAAATAACAAACCAGCATTCTTTGTCTTTTCTTCCGTCGTAGCATTCTTCGAGGAACCCGTCCATGAAAACCGCGTTGTTTCAAGAAATTGATGAGATGCTTATAAATGTTTTGATGTTCTTCGGATTTTTCTACATATCATTAATCTTAATTTCAGGTTGAAATGGTGGGAAGTGTTCATGTGTGTTGAAATGGTGAGAAGTATTCATGTGTGCTGAAATGGTGAGAAGTGCCTATGTGTGTTGAAATAGTGAGACTGTTCATATGTGTTGAAATGGTGAGAAGTATTCATGTGTGCTGAAATGGTGAGAAGTGCCTATGTGTGTTGAAATAGTGAGACTGTTCATATGTGTTGAAATGGTGAGAAGTATTCATGTGTGCTGAAATGGTGAGAAGTGCCTATGTGTGTTGAAATAGTGAGACTGTTCATATGTGTTGAAATGGTGAGAAGTATTCATGTGTGCTGAAATGGTGAGAAGTGCCTATGTGTGTTGAAATGATGAGAAGTATTCATATGTGTTGAAATGGGGGAAATGTCAATATGTGTTGAAATGTTGAGACGTTGATTGAAAGACATGTATATATCTGTCTAAACTGGGATGTATATATGTATGCTGAAATTTTGTGACGTGTACAATTGTATTGAGACAGTGAGATGTGTACATGTGTTGAAATGGGGAGACATATACATATGTTTTGGCGATCCTTAAATATAAATAAGTAAGGTTATTTGAATCTTAATGGTATTTTAGTCACTACACTCTTGTTTCTTAACTTCGATCGTACTAGAATCGGTGTTTCAACGTGATACGGTCATAAGCCATACCACCCGCCCATCCAAATTTACAGCACCGGGTATTCCCCTGCAGTCACCCATCTAGTTACTGACCAGTTTCAAAGTTTTTTTTTCAACTTCGGTGATCGTAACAGAACCCGTGTTTCAACGTGATATGGCTGTAAGGTATACCATCCGCCCATCCAAATTAACAGCACCTGGTATTCCCAAGCAGTCACCCATCTAGGTACTGAACAATCTCAAAGTTGCTTAACTTCGGTGACCGTACGAGAACTGGTGCTTCAACATGATATATCTGCATTTCCATTCGTATGGAAATTGTGATACGTATACATATACGTTGAAATGGTATGTCGTGTATAGAATTTCTGGAATCTTTTAGATATATGTAGATATACTTTCCTCTAAATTTAGCGTTGACTGAGTCTCCTTTGGGATTGTAGTTACCTTTTGTGCTGAAATATTCATCAGACAACACGTTCTCCGAAGTATTGACATAGTACCAATTTCAGTGATACGAACATTACCAATTTCTTATTTAAAAAGACAATGGAATCTAGAATTTAAAAACTGTGGAAAAATGTTCTTATTACCATAGTCTGGTTGATTATTAATAAATCTCAAACAATTATTTTTTAAGTCATGGTTTAAAAATGAAATATTTAATTTAAAAAGTGAGTACTTAAAGACCTACTCAAGTTATATTGAACATTAATACAAGAAGGTATTAAGAATCTCATTCTGTTAATATCTGTTTCATTCTGTTAATATCTATCTATCTATCTATCTATCTATCTATCTATCTATCTATCTATCTATCTATCTCAGTATATCCATATCTATCTCATTCTGTTCATATCTATCTATCTATCTATCTATCTATCTATCTATCTATCTATCTATCTATAAATGCATTTAAAGACTGATACATTAAGTGCAGTTTTTAACCATAGCTATGAAACTATTGAAATTGATTTCTTAAATTTAGCGCCTAAATACATAATTTCCAAAGGCCACGATTGAGACATTTTAATTTTTGCAAATGGTTACTATCTTTCTATTTATGCACATAACATAGGTAGTCACTAGCAGTTCCTTTAATTGGTGTATCAACTTTAGTAATTTATTGTTTGTACAAGAACAAAGAACAGATTATTCGGTCCTCAGAATGTAAAAGAATTAACTATTTCCAGGTTAACTTTTCTTATCACAAAAGCTACTACTGAAGATTATATCCTTATAAACTACCAACTAATTTTTGGAAAAGGCAAAATTCCTTAAATTCTAGATCAAAGCATTGGGGTTCCCAAACTATGTGAACGTATAACAATAAAAATGTCGAATTTCAGAATTAAATGAAGGTAACTAGAAGAAGCATGTTTATGAGTAATCAGTATTATCGCTTAATACAATTATAATTTTGTTGTCACCGCCAAGAGCCAGAATCATTTTTGTTGTGTGTCGCTTCAGGATGTGCTCTTCTCAAATTCTCACGCTTTGTGGCTCTTAAAAATGTATATCTTTTTAGTATCCTTTCTATTCTATATTCTGTCGTTAATTCACAAGTGTTCTTTAGGTAAATCATTCACTGTTTCCCCTCTGTCTCTTCAATCTTCACTGTGTCCTGTAAGTATCAACATTTTACATGCCACTCTTTCTTTATTATTAGATATAGAAATTTTAATTATCTCTTTCTAATTCTAGGTACGTGCCCTTTTCGTCGACATTTTCCATAGATTTTCCTCGTTACTCACATCTTCAGTCCATGACATTCTCATCATCATTCTGTAGAACAAAATTTCTGTTGCGTTAAGTCTCTTCTTGCATAATAGCTTTTTCTTTGTTTCTTATGACATTTTCATATTTCTTACTGTATTTTCTAGCTTTTGGAAGGCATTTTCGCTATTCTAGCCTATCTTGTGATTTCTGTGTCGTATTTTCAGTCATGTTTTATAAGACTTCCCAGATAGTTAAATTTTGTACTTGCTTGATTTTGACACGTCGAACTTAGTTGTTATTCGAATATTAACAGGTACATTTCTGTATATGTTTTATTCTATATTGATTGTTAACCATATATCGTAACTATCGTAAATGATAAACATTTGAAATGACTTGCTATCGAAATTTTTGTATTTGTTTAAGCAATTAGATGGTTTGTAACTTCGCTCAAGGTATATGTATGAAATATCTTTTTTTTTAATTTTTTTAAATAATTTTACTCTAAACAAGAAAATAAAGCCAGTAAGACTCAAGAGGTTACTGAGTGTTAGAATCTATGAGAAAAAAAAAAAGAAGCTATTTTTAAGGAGAAAGGACAATAAAAGAATAATAATTCGTCCTCAGAGACAGGGCTCCGAATGGCGATTATCCAAAAATCTAAAGTATAACGAAATAGAATAATTTTAATAGGGAATATTGTTGAACTGCTATGTAATATCATTCCTCCTATGTGTTAGTAAATGCTGAAAAGTTTCCTCAGATGAATAGGACACTTGAGACAATATTATGAAATGAATATCTGGGCAACGAACACATTTAAAGCACATGACAATAAGAAGGATACCATCTTAAAGTCAGAAGGACACAGTTGAAACTTAGAATGCTTATAAATGATTAGAATTACAATGCGTGATTAGCAATGAATATAGGATAAAACTAATGCTGAAATATACCATTAACATTCGAAGAACAATAATATGGGAAATTATAGCTTCAAGTAAGTGCAGAAATTTAAATATTTGGAAAGTGTTTTAATAGAGGAAGAAAAATAGGACATTGAAATCCAAATATGCATTGGGATAACAAAAAAAATGCCTTCCAAAAGTGAAGCAAAGTATTAAGAAACAGGAAAATTTCATTAAAAACAAAGAAAATACTACTGAACGGTTATGTAATATCAGTACTCCTATATAGCAATGAATACTGGACAATCTCATCAAAGATGAAGAAGAAACTTGAAGAAACAGAAATGTAGTCCTACAGAAGGATGCTGAGAATACCATAGAAAGAACAGAAGGGAAATATGAAAGTTTTGGAGAAAATGAAAGCGAAAAGGACACTCATATTGGGATTGGAAAGAGTTGAAATTTCACGGGAAAGAGGAAAGACGTCTTGGAAAATTTGATACTCACAGGACATGTTGAAGACAAATGTGGTAAAGAAAAGTAGCGCTTAACTTATTTATTTTATTTTTTAAGTGAATATTGTTTTTCTGGAATGAGCATAAGACAAAGATGTGTCTTCACGCCAGACTCATTCAACTTTTACAATGAGGTGATCCCGAGAGAATTAGAACCCTACACGCAAGCCACCAATCTGCCACTGGGTGCCATGCCGCTAGCGTTTACCGCTGTCAGACCGCCGGCGCGATCGTCTTGACAATGTTACCACTGGCAGACCACTAGAGGCCCACCGATGGTCCACCGATGGTCCACGGGTGGCTGCCACCAGAGAACTGTGGGCCACTACCGGCTTCCGTGTAGGGAAGTTCTACCAAGGTTCATTACTGTCTGCCACAATCTTAACAACTTAACATATTGAGATGGCACAGTGTTGAAAAGAGACGTAAAAAGAAAACTACAGGAACTCCTACAGAAGTTAGTAAAGGAAAGTGAGAATTGTAAGGAGACAGAATGTATGGTTGTCAGCAAAAGCGAACAGTCCAAGATGCGAACTACAAATTTGGGACAACAATATCAAGCAAGTACAAAAATCAGAAGTATTTTAAGATAGGATGAAAAACTTATGTAATATTGGTAAAGAAAGGCAGCGCATAACTTATTTATTTTATTTTTTAAGTGAATATTGCTTTTCTGAAATGAGCATAAAACAAAGATGTGTTTTCACACCAGACTCATTCAAATTTTACAGTGAGGTGATCCTGAGAGAATTAGTTGTTCTACCAAGGTTCATTACTGTCTGCCACAATCTTAACAACTTAACATATTCATGTGGCACGGTGTTGATAATAGACATAAAAATAAAACTACAAGAACTCCTACAGAAGGTAGTAAAGGAAAGTGAGAAGAAAGGACTAACTATTCATTGTAAGAAGACATGACATTGTTGTCAGCAAACGAAACAGGCCAACATGCAAATTACGAATTAGAGATACCAAAATTAAACAAATGTAAAAATTTAAATCTCTAGGAAGTGTCTTAACAGAGGATAGAAAATATGACACTAAAATACAAAGACACATTGGAATAGCAAAAGATGCTTTCCAAAAGCTAAACAAAGTATTAAGAAACAGGAAAATTTCATTAAAAACAAATAAAAAGTGAACTGAACATGGCAGCAATGAGAAAAATAGAAGCGAAAAGGACACATATACTTACAATTGGAATGATACAGGTGAAATTTCTGGGACATGTAATGTGGAAAAATGGCTTGGAGAATATTTACAGGACATAGTGAAGCAGAAAGTATTCTACCCAACGCATTTGTGTAAATGAATTGTAGAAAAGGGACGAGAGAGAAATGTAAAAGGATAAACATTACTGAGAGCAACAAAGGATGGGAAGTTGTACAGAGCCAGGACCGTCCACATAATAAAAGTATTTGCTCATTTTTGTTGATACTTATAACGCTAAAATTATCCCAATATTCGTAAATCTAATCGTAAAATGTGACACAGAAATAGCGTTGGAATAGTAAAAGATGCTTTCCAGAAGCTAAATAAGCTATTATGAAACACGAAAATATCATTAGACATAGAGAAATGAGGGCTGAAGTGCTATGTATATAAATCCACCTATATGACAGTGAATGTTAGAAAATTCCCTTTCGATGAATAGAAAAATCATTCTACAGAAGGATACTGAGAATACCATGAATGGAGCATGTAAGCAGCAAGGAGGCTTTAAGAGAATAAAAATAATGAGAATAAAAAAGGACGCTTAGAATCAGAAAGAAACAACCGAAACTTCTAGGACTCAGAGAGTTTAACACTAACAGGGCATATCGAAGACTAAAAGGGATAGGAGATGGTAAACTGGCTGACTAGCTTCAGTGAATGAATGAAGGGACTGAAGTGGGCGGTATGGTAAAAAAGACAAACGTCGTAAGAACGGAAGAGATTTGAAAGACCGGGCAAAAGACTTGTGAGGTTTCAAATAGAAGTTTATAAACGTTAGTAAGAGCTACAAGACAGAGGAAGTTGAGGAGAGTCATGAAAACCCACATCCTAAAGGGACACATACGAAAACTACGACCAACTCTTGAACATTTTGTCTGAGTACTTCTAGTCACTATTATAGCATTACGTATATATATTACATTATCTATTCGTTATCTTATGAGCATGCTTTTCTTAATATATTTATGTCTTAATTAAAAAAGTGTATGATACTAACCAGCAAATAAATCTATAGAAAATATATTAGAACGTATATCAAATCAACTACCTCTATTACCAATCTAATTCATTACCTATCTCCTTCATTGCCAACCTGTTTCATCAAGTTGACAATTACTAAATTTGTTTTTCTACTCTCGTTTCTAAACACGCATCTTCACTGTTGAAGTGTACTGCCTTTGAATGTTTACACTGCTCTTCAAACAAGTTCAAGTTAACTTATGATTGCATGTAATCAAAGTTTGATGTCGTAGAAGATTATGTCGTTGATTGTGTCGTAGAAGATTATGAATCTGAACATCTTTGTTCTTTGTTTTGATTTATTTACATGTGAAACGAAAATAAATAAAAAGGGTAGAATAAAGCAGAATAAATGTTAAAATTAGATAAGATTACAGAACATAGTTAAAGCTGAGTGTAAATCTGTAAATAATTAAAGATCAAGGCAAAAACAAGATCTCAATCAGTCAAACCGGCACATAATCCACGGGTCTGGAATTTAGTAGATCTTTGGAATTTGGCAATGAATGATCCACCACGTACCATTTTTATTTTATTTGGTAAATGAAAGATCACTCGCAAGGTTATTTGAAACAAGAATTTAATGAGTTTGGCTAGGCGGTTGTTACATCGCCGTTCATTTTATTTCTTAAGTAGGAGTATTTACTCTTTGCCATTAACGACACTGCGAGTTGTACCGGCAAATCGTGTTATCTTTCTCTTTCCTCACCCACTAAAATCACCAGCAAAATGGCTGACGAATGATAAGTGGTACCGTCTCCCAGAGGGCTTGAAATCTGTGCTTTTTCGTTAAAATTAACCAAATTTTCGGCAGATGCTTTCTAAAAATCCATTTGCAGAAATATCATTTGTAAACCCAAGAGTATTTTCAATTCGATGTTTACTGTTTACTTTCGTTATCACAAATCCGTTTCTTTTTCTTTCTTTCTTTTACTCTCTTTATTCGTTTCCAGTTCTTTCTTTCTTTCTTTCTTTCTTTCTTTCTTTCTTTCTTTCTTTCTTTCTTTCTTTTACTCTTTTATTCATTTCCAGTTCTTTCTTTCTTTCTTTCTTTCTTTCTTTCTTTCTTTCTTTCTTTCTTTTCTTTCTTTCTTTCTTTCTTTCTTTCTTTCTTTCTTTCTTTTATTCGTTTCCAGTTCTTTCTTTTATTCGTTTCCAGTTCTTTCTTTCTTTCTTTCTTTCTTTCTTTCTTTCTTTCTTTCTTTCTTTCTTTCTTTTATATATTTCACTTCTAAAGCTTTTATTTTTTACGCCATTTTCCACTTCCGTGTCATCCACTTTATTTATTGTCGTCATATTTATTTACTTTTAAATTCATTTTGACAAAATTATGTCTTAAACAACATATGGATCCTGAGAAAATTAGATTAAAAA